CTTACTTGCTTGCCTCTCCCGTCTGTATTCCTAACAGGTAAAATAATAAGCAAGTTCCCCAGCCACAAAGCATTGCGTTAGATTTTATTTAGTTATCATTGATGGTATTGAAAGTACTTCGGGAAGGATGTTCACTATAACTACCCACCAGGGTCTCTTCCCCCTGAAATCTCTTTCCCCCTGCAGACTTAGCTAAAACTCATTCAATTTCAGATGCCAAAAAGCAGCTCACAGCCGATTAGGTGAAAGATTCCTCAGTGTGCAGCTATCTGCAAGAGTCTAACCTTAAACCTGGGACATGGAGATTCATATGGGAGAATCTGAACTATTCCTCCATCTCTTCCGTTGAGTTTGCATCACCACGAGGGAGGGTTTTTGACAAACCACAGCTATAGCTGCTAAGTGTAGGTCACACTTACGCTTGCTAGTGCGGGAAAGAGGACCTGTGTGTGAGCGCCCCTTGAAAGATGCTGGTTGGATGCCATAATCAGGCCCAAATCACGTGGGCCAACAATGGAAGAAAGAATAGTATCAAGGTCTCCTAGAGGTGGAAGAGGCAATTTCTAAAGGGAAAAAAATTGCAGTGGGAGGAAGAGGCCAAACAAACAAATCAAGTCTTATTCCTGTTTGAGACCTTGTATGATTATAACTCAATACCTCTAATGCCTTTCATCAAGGCCCTTGGTAAATGTGTAGTTTCTATTTCTTGAAAAGAGTTCAATCAGAGGCTCTGTGCCAAGTGGTTGCATTACTAGGAAGGCACTGTCTCGTCAGCCCACACCTTTCCCCAGCCAAGGAAAGCTCTGCGAGGCTTAATCAACTTTTACGAGGAACACAGTGTTCTATGCGGTTTGCCATATTGTCTGATCTGGAGGACCTTTGTTAGGGATGGGTAGACACAGGTTTAAGAGTAAACAGTGAGTAGACGTGGAAAACTTTACTGAATCCTTAAAAATGTCTCAATTGCCATTGTTGTTACCTAGGCAGTATTTGGGCCTCAACTCCTTTGCATGCCTGCTGCACACTGTCCGATTTTCTTCCCCCAGAAAAAGCAGGGAAGCTGCTTATACGTGCTAGCTGCAGGCTTTGATCATTCTCTTTGTTCCTCAAAGGTCCTCACCTGCTTTTAGCACCGTGTTGCTCTCAGAGGTTTCAAAATCTTTTTCTGGTTGTACGAGAAATACCAGTGAATGGAGAGAAGCCTCTTGTAGATAATGAAGATGATTAGAGCCTGTTGGCAGGCATTCGCTGCCAAGGAGATGGAAGAAAGCATTTAATTACTTAGAGATGGTTAAAGCACTCTGTGTTGCCTTCCTCGGTGCCTTTGAAATCTTAGCTAGTGTGGCGTTTGTCTCAGTTTTTGCCCCCCCCTTTTGTTTGGGGTCTGACTGTAAATGCAAAAGGGTCATTAGCACAAGGAATTTGAAGATTTCTTTTCTGTTTTAATCACTTATCTCTGTGACTTCAAGGCTTCCACATAAAGTTGCACTTGCCACATGTTAATCACATTGAATTTACTAAAAATCTGAACCACAAAATGGGCAGAGCATTGTGTCACTGCAGAGACTTTGCCAAGGAGATAATTTTCATTTATCTTCTAAACAAACAAAAATCTACCTTTTAATTTCTCAGAGTGTGTAGCCTTTTTTGTTTGTTTGTTTTTGTTTTGTTTTGTTTTGTTTTTCTGACACAGGGTTTCTCTGTGGCTTTGGAGGCTGTCCTGGAACTAGCTCTTGTAGACCAGGCTGGCCTTGAACTCACAAAAATCCACCTGCCTCTGCCTCCCGAGTTCTGGGATTAAAGGCATGTGCCACCAACGCCTGGCCCAGTGTGTAGCCTTAACGGCACAATAATGTCTATATAATTCTCTCTGACCTTTTCCTGATTTTTATAGATGAACATCTTTCTTGTGCAGGTTAGCAGAATATGCCACCTAGAATGTGCCATTTTGGCATGAGGGCTACTTTGAGCTAAAGCACTTGAAAAACAGCAGATGCTAGAAGGGCAGCCTCAGCTTCTCTCTTCCTGAAAACAGGAGATAAAAACTTCCAAGTGCAGAAAAGAAACATTACTGGGTTATGGCCAAGAGGTCTCTGGGAAACCTCGTTTAGCCTTCCTACATAATGTAGTTACAGTTCCACAGTTATTTCTCTTTGTTCAAATACAAAAGCATCCAGATCTTGCTATTTCTTTGAAACTTCGTTTCATTATAAAACAGAGTCCTGTACCACTTGGACTAAAGGTGTATACTTTCGTCTAATTAAGTGGTATAGCTCAGTGGTAGGGCATTTGCCTAATGTATGTGAAGCCCCAGATTTGACCCCCCATGATTACAAAAATCTAATTAAATAAAAAAATCTGTCTCATGAATTTAATTCAAAGGGCTGACCAGGACCCTAAGAGAGTAAGGATGTACCTTTTTTATACACACACAATTTTGTATCATCCTCAATTGTCATTAGCATAACCCCTCTGGAAAGAAACAAATTGTAATTGAATACACTGTCAGACCCTGTGCTAGGTACTTAGCAGACAAATTTCACTTAATTCCTTGAATCCAGGATTAATGGTATCATGTTGTTGGTCTGGAAGCTGAAATTTGGAGTGTCGGTAGGTAGCCTTTTCAGATTTATAGTCTAGATTCCCTGTTGCCAAAGCTTTACTTCTTCAAGGTCACCATGTCTGTGCTCCACATTATCTGTTTCTCTGTCAGAGTAATTAACACGCCTTACAGGGTTGTTGTCTGGCTAAAGAATTGGTATTTACAGTTACCTTTGTAAAGGCATTAGCTGCTGCCCTTTGCCATTACCAATATTATTACTGCCACAGTTTGTACCCAAGCCTCCACTGCTTCCAATGTCTATTTGATTTGAAATGTGGGGTTCGGTTGACTTCCTCATTGCAAATTCTGGACTCCATTTTAGTAGCATTGTTTTATGCCTGTGTTTTCTCTTGTTCTGGACAGCATGGAGACAGGTGTTTTAAGACTTAAAACCGGTATCTTTCTTCACGTGTTTTGAGTCATAATCATCTGCTGTCGTGTGTGTGTGGGGGGGTGCTACTGAAAGATGCTGCAGGTGTAGGCTGCTGGAGCTCCTTGGGCTTTGGGGAGAAATCAGCTCGGAAAATACTGAAAACCGGCTTGATTATGGACTATAGCTCTCAGCTTATTTCCCATTTCTCTCTTATCTCCTGGCTGCTGAGATTATTTGGCTCAAGGCACAACTGATCCTTCTGGAAGGATCTTTTGCAGAATTCTAGACTGCAGGAGGCTTCTATGAACTTAAATACAGACTTCAATTTGCGGGGGGAGGGGGCTGAAGCAGATGAATGGCTCGCTGTAAATAAAGAGAATGCCGTGGTGCTGTGCTTTATTTAGCTGATCTTAATCTGTTTGTGTAGCTGTAAAATAATACCATAGAGTGAATAATTTGGAAATAGCACAATTGCATTTCACTCATGTCTCTGGAGGTTGGGGGGGTCTAAGGACAGGTGCCACATTGTTGAGGGTCACTGTATCATGAGATGGTGAGAGAGACTACAATAGCAAAATAGACGCACTCTTAACCCATTACAGAGAATATGGCATTCATTCACTCACAAAGTGACAATGCTGCTTGCTACATTGGGGATTGTATTTCCAACATGTGAGCTTTGGAGGACACATTCAAACTGTAGCAGCCTCTGTAGTTGACAATGCTTGATGATGTCATTTTGGACCCTGTGTGGAACAGTCACTGCTCATAGCTCACTAGATTTCAGAATAGTTGCATCACAACAGGGAGTGAGATTTTATATTTGCATTGCAGGTCCCATTACCAGACTGATTTTCATATTGAATTATAAACAAAAATTTTATGCTGCTTACATTTAATGAAATTTTAATAAGGCCATGTTTTGATGTTATTATTCAAATAATGTGATCCGAATTGCTTTCCTCTGAATATATTTGCATTAAAGAGAAAATCAATTTGAGTTCATTCCTTGAACAGTTTACCTATTTTCTTTGTAGCTTTGAAAAGACAGGGGAAAACTCAGTTTCTCTGTCAGTAAATGGAGAAGAAACACATTTCCTAAGATCTGTAGCATCAGTGGCAACAGACTGCTGATGGTTTGAGTTAATGAAATGCCTCATTTTGTCTATTAGAGTTGCACAATTTAAGCCATCTACAAACCACACACATCTCCTCTCTTACTGAGACTTTTAAGCTTGTATATTAAGAAAGAAAATTAAGAGATGCGTGTTATTGCTACTCCCAAGCATTGGTAACCTAAATTAAACGGCATTCTCTGGAGAGAGCAAGTGTCTCTGGGGGTAGCATTCCTCTAATATCCAGTTTCTGCTAAAATTGTGGGTGTGGGTCCAAGGCAGTTTTTCGAAACACGTCTTCCAAAAGGTCACCTCACAAGCTAAAGCACGTTATTGGCAATGCTTATGTAGTTTCTCCTGCTCATCTAGCTGAAGTTTAATGAAGAGAATTAAGTCTGGAAATAATGGGAGAAATCTTGCTTTGGAGAATAATATTCCTTACAGATTCTAAGGGATTGCAAAGAAATTAACTGGCCAGGAGGGTATGACTCTGCCCAGAAAGGTACCTTTGGGTCTTTCACGTCCTCATTTGTTACACAAATAAACGCTTTTATTTACTTTCCAGGTCTTCTCTTCCTCTACACTTTATTACTGCTCTTCCACCCCACCACCACACACATTTATTCTTTATGTTCCATATACAAATTTTCTAACTTAAAAACTCAGCAAAAACTATAAAATGTGCCTAAACAGGTGTGCCCTAGAATTCATCTGTACACTTGCCGAGGTGTTTGGTTCTAGTTTCCTATTTCTATGATTCCACAAACACCATTCTATACTCGTTAAAACAGCCGCCAAAGCCCAGAAGAGGCAGCCACCGCCAAGACCTTCCGCAAGCGCAGTGGCGTGCGGAGGCCCCGCCCCCTCGGGTTGGTACAGCTCCGCCCCCGGACGCAGCGCGCAGGCGATATGACGTCACCCGCGCGCCGCTCTTCCTCCCAGTGTCTCGCGGGCGCGCTGGGGACAGGTTTTTGGCGGTTACTACGAGGTGGAGGCGACCAGTTCTCCGCGGCCCGGTGACATGCTGCAGAAGCCGAGGGGCCGCGGCCGGCCCAGCACGCAGGCCGAGAAGGAGCGGGAGTGGGGAGACGCAGGCGAGGAGGCGCCCAGCACGTCCCGCGGCACGGGCGGCACGTCCCAGGGCTCCCGCGCCTCCCTGTCGGCCCCCGCCGTGGGGCCGCGCACCCAGAAGCAGCTGGAGCTTAAGGTGGCCGAGCTGGTGCAGTTCCTGCTGATCAAGGACCAAAAGAAGATCCCCATCAAGCGCACCGACATCCTGAAGCACGTGGTGGGCGACTACCGGGACGTGTACCCCAACCTGCTGCGACTGGCCGCCGAGCGCCTACAGTACGTGTTCGGGTACAAGCTGGTGGAGCTGGAGCCCAAGAGCCACACATACATCCTTATCAACATGCTGGAGCCGGTGGAGGAGGACGCCGAAGTGAGGGGCGACCAGGGAACACCCACCACGGGCCTGCTCATGATAGTCCTGGGGCTCATCTTCATGAAGGGCAACACCATTACCGAGACCGAGGTCTGGGACTTCCTGCGGCGGCTCGGGGTGTACCCCACTAAGAAGCATTTAATTTTTGGTGACCCAAAGAAACTCATTACAGAGGACTTTGTGCGGCAGCGCTACCTGGAGTACCGGAGGATACCCCACACCGATCCTGTGGACTACGAGTTACAGTGGGGCCCGCGAACCAACCTGGAAACCAGCAAGATGAAAGTTCTCAAGTTTGTGGCCAAAGTCCATAATCAGGACCCCAAAGACTGGCCCACACAGTACTGTGAGGCCTTGGCGGATGAGGAGAATAGGGCCAGACCTGCAGTTAGTGCTCCGGCCACATCCTCCTGAACTCTTGAGGCTGAGGAACTCCCGAAATCCAGGATAAGCGAACAGGGAAAGGCGGCTGGAGGAAGCTTGATTCTGCTAGGTGTGGATATCTTGTAACATCAGGGTGTTGTGCAAGATTTTGATGTTTTGTTATGGGGCTTTAATTTTTCACTGCTAAAGTAATAGAAGAAAAATTATTTTACTGTTGTTTAAAGAGGTTTTCCATCTTAGCATAACTGGAAAATTGCAGTATGGTGTTAAACGTTAAGCAAAAAATCCTTAGGTAAATTGCTTTGCTGTCCTAGACGATAAAGAGGCAAGATAGCTATTACCTCTTAATTACTCTAGTTCTGGGGGGGGGGGAGTCTATTGAAATAGAAATGCAATTGTGTTAGCCTCATGTCAACACAACTATAAAAATGCATATTCTGTATGGATATGAGCACTCCAAACAATCTATATGATGTGTTCTCTAACATTCTGTATTCATTAAATGTTACTCTGTTACCCCATGAATGCCATTTAAGGTGGGTTTTTTTCCTATTTATAATAAATACTGTGTTTTTGAGTCAGTTCATCATTATTTTTGTTGTTTCCCTGTTAGAAATTGTGACTCTTAAGGAAATGCCTGATTCCAAACGTATTTTACCATGATACTAAGGTCAATGGTTGCAGAAGCCCATGAGTAGTATATCTTGTAGCGAGTTGTAAAATCATTCATTGTAAGTCTCAGATTTATAAAACATTGTCATAGTGATTAACCCCCAGATCCCAGCTCCACAATAAGAATTTAGCTTGTGTACATATGGAATGGGCCAAATCCTATATTGAGCATGTCATTTTGAATAGGTACAGGACTTAATGTAAAATTCAGCAAAAGTTTTGGTGTGAATTTAGTCACTTACACCTTGTTTTTACTCTTGATTCTGAGCTACTTTTTGTTCTTTATGTCATGCTGGGTTACTCCTAGAAGAGTGGTCACACATTCTGGGCCCAGAATTTCTCCCCATTTTCTTCTTTAGCATATGTAAATAGTTCTTTGAAAAACTTGGCGTACATCTGGTGTGATCAGGACAACCACAAGATCCCCTGGGCTTTGGGAGGTGTGGCACAGCACAGTGACACAATAGGTTTTGAGGTCATCAGACCTACTCAGTTTGAATTAAAGGCCAGGCTGGTTCTCTAGGGGTAAGTTTGGAGTTCTCAGTCTCAACTGGAGAAAACAATTTTTTATGTCCTTATAGATAAGCCAGAAGAGACAAGTCTTGCAGTTCTTAATAGTATCCAGCCAAACACTGGACACATACAGTGAGTACAATTGTTCTGAGGAGAGCTGCTCTAAGTTATAAATCAAAAAGGGCACAGGGGAGGGAGGGCAGGTGACTTTCACCAGCCTTGAACTAGAGGTCAATTTGTGGTAGTTAGGGTTGTGGGGGAGCGAGAAGGCCTACTGGTAGTTGATTTGTGTTAATAATAGTGTCCTAGTTTTTTGAACTAGAGGTCAATTTATGGTAGTTAGAGTTGTGGGGGAGTGAGAGGGCCTATTGATAGTTGATTTGTATTAATAACAGTGTCCTAGTTTGCTTTCTACTTCTGAATACCCTGACCACAAGCAGCTTGGGGAGGTACATTTATTTCATAGTTGTAGTCCATCACTAAGGGAAGTCTGGGCAGGGACCTGGAGACAGGAATAAAGCAGAGGCCATGGAGGAACACTGCTTATTGGGTTGCTCATCCTGCAAACACAGCTCTGAATCACCTGCCTGGAGCTGGGCCCTCCCACATCAGTCAGCCATCAAGAAAATGCCCCACAGGCCAATCTGATAGCTCTGTTTTCTCAGTTGAGGGTCTCTTCCCACATGGCCCTGGCTTATATCAAACTGACAACAAGTAGATTTAGAGGTTGTTAAAGGATTAGTTTATCCTTAAGGCTCTCTTTTCTTGGTATGCCTTTTATGTCAGCATGTGAATTACCTCTGCCCACTGACTCCTGACCCAGTCAGCTTCAATTGTGCTGTGGTGCTTATGCTGTCATCTGTGTCCATATCTCAGATAAAACTGTCATCCGATAATGGTGTCCCAGTTTTCTGAGCTCTTCACAGTTTACTGTCAAATTAGTTTGCTGGAGATGCTGTGCTACATTAGAGGGTAGATCAAGCTCTGACATCATTTTTCTCCCACCAGATTCCAGGGCTGCATGTCATGCTCTTATATAGTTGTTGTTGTTTTTTTTAAGTTAAAAACAAGCATCTTTTACATGTCAATCCCAGTTCCCTCTCCCTCCCCAACTCCCCTGTCCCCCACCAATCCCCTAACCCATCCCCTTTCTGCTCCCCAGGGAGGGTGAGGCCTTCCTTGGGGGATCTTCAAAGTCTGTCATATCATTTGGGGCAGGGCCTAGGCCCTCCCCTGTGTGTCTAGGCTGAGAGAGTATCCCTCTATGTGGAATGGGTTCCCAAAGTCCATTCATATACTAGGGATAAATACTGATTCACGGCCAGAGGCCCCATAGATTACCCAGGCCTCCTAACTGACACCCACATTCAGGGAGTCTGGGTCCATCCTATGCTAGTTTCCCAGCTGTCAGTCTGGGGTCCACGAGCTCCCCCTTGTTCAGGTCAGCTGTTTCTGTGGGGTTCTCCAGCATGGTCTTGACCCCTTTGCTCATCACTCCTCCCTCTCTGCAACTGGATTCCAGGAGTTTGGCTCAGTGTTTAGCTGTGGGTGTCTGCTTCTGCTTCCATCAGCTACTGGATGAAGGCTCATGTTTGTCTTTTTGTGAGTGGGGTCCCTCACTCAGGATGGTTCTATAACTTTACTGGTATGTGCATGAAGAACATGTGGTTTCCTTTTGTGGGCTTTCACAGTTTATGTGAGTGTCCTTTACCACAGCTGTTTTCAATCAATTGTTTTTGGAGTTTGTCAGTATAGATGCATAAACTGATTCATTCCTTTGGTTTCCTTTCATGACAGGCCCTCCCAGCTTTCTGCTTTGGCAGGCATATGTGTGCTGCTTCAGTGATATTTGCCCAACGGCTCTTGAGCGCACATAGTTACACTTTCACAAGCATCTAGACAGCTCTTGTTTTGTTTCTGCCAGTCATCCCACGTTCTGAAACCCTTGTGAGCACTCTGCCTTTAGAGCCCTGTAGTGCGTATGTCATTAATGCTGCACATGTCATTCACTTACCTGTTGCTTCTAAGTGACGTTAAGTACCTGCCCGTCTTTTACTCTCCATTCTGAGCATCAGATTTTAAACATCAGACATTTTTTCTGTGTATTGATTTGCAGGAACATCTTCTGCACATCAGTTCACCGTTGAATCCAGTTGCAAACACCATCTGTGTTTTTATTTTCATACATGGCTTTAATGTGTCTTGATTGTTAGCATTATAATTCCTGTATTTTGCACTATGCTTTGAAAAGTTTCCCTAAGTTATGGAGGTACTGTTTATAATTTTTGAGAATTTCATACATGGGCAGTATATTGACACCATTTCTACCCATTCCAGTTCCTCCAGTTTCCCCCCACTGTGTATATAAATGCAGCCTGCTGAGAACATTAGGCTGGCCAGTTGGATTAGACAGTCAATTAGGGCATTCATCCCTGAAGAAAACTAATTCTCCCTCTCTTAGCCATCATTTAACATCCTGCAGTTCTTCATCTGGGAGTGAGGCCTTGTGAGACTTCCCCCATCTGCACTGGTGTGTCAACTGCTATTGTCATTTTGGGGGTCTTGTGCAGGCAGTCATATTGTTAAGATTTCATGGGTGCAGCCTCCTTGGCATACATAGAGGACACCATCTCCCAGCAGACATCCTGGTCCTCTGGCCCTTACAAACTTTCTGCCCCCTCTTCCATGCTGTTCCCTGAGCCTTGGGTGTAGTGTCGTGCTGGATGTATCAGCAGGGGCTGAGCACCCAGTGTTCAGCTGTCGTCTGTGCTCTGACCAGCTGTAGATTTCTGTAGTCTCCATCTGGTGTGACAAGAAGTGGGCGTGGATGAGGGGCAAGGGCTGTGCTTACCTGTGAGTTTAAGAATAAGTGTTTAGAATACAATTATAGTGCTTTAAGAAAGGGGCTGGAGGAATCTCTTGTCTAGGGTTCATGACCTCACCAGCCAGAGGTTGGCTGACTTTACAGTACCAAACATGAATTTCCTCTTATCTTATGGGGCCTTAAGTTCAATTAGGCAACTTTTAGTTATACCCAAGATATTAACTGCCACTGTTGCACCTTTGGGGATACCTTGCTATGCTGGGCAATAATTAATATGGTTCATCAGCTTTATAGTTGGATAGGCTACTTATTGCTTTTCTCCCTTGGTAGTTTTCATAGTATCTTTGGGTACTATGAAAGCTAGTCCTGGAGAAGGCTTCTAGGTTAAATCTAGTTTAAGCAACCAAGGGCAACGATGATAGTACGTTATTTGGGGAGTCTCTTTGACTTCCTTGACCAGCAAACAACTGAAGGGTAGGTCTGACCCTGAGAGTTTTGTTAGTCTGTGGCCCTTAGACGCAGCCTTATCACTCCAAGAGGCATAACTTTATTCAATAGACATGCACATGGGTGTACACAGACCCACATACATGCATGAATACAATGGCAACAGCTTGTTCAGGCTGGCCTTGAACTCACAGTGCCTATGAAAAACAAAATCTAAGTATGTCTTTAAATCTTTTATTTGGAAAATTCCATACATGTAAAATTAGAAAGGCATTGAAATCATTTGGCTGCCTGTGTAATTTTGTTTCTCGTCTCCGTATATCTTCTGACCATAGCTTAGATGTGTCTCTGAAGATAAGAATTCTAACAGTGGGATGAATGATCCTGTGTTTACTAGATGCTGGGATGCCTTCCCAGCATATTTATGTTGCTTATCTGACTTTCTTGCTATTCTGAAGTAGATCCCCCTTGGGCATGGTAGAGACCCACTGCCATTTGTCTTCTGTTGATTTCTAGCTTTGCTCCTCTTTAACCAGAGTATGTATTTCATATCATTACAATCTTTCCATTTTTGCTGCGGTGTCTCCTTAGTACTGTACTTAGTACAGTCTTCTTTTCCTACCTTTGGTTTCATGATGACAACCTTGTATGACAAGAAGTGCTCCCTCTCCTCCAAGTCTGGAAAAAGTAGGATTGTTATTAACTCTTTAAGTGCTTAGGAGAATTCACTGGGAACCAAGATGGGGTTGTACTTTTTACCTTTGGCTAGGATTTTGATTTCTGAGTAATCTTTTGAGAATGTATCAGCAGCTTATACAACTCCTTACCATCCAAAGTTTTCTTTTATGTAGTATGTGGGGGGGTCTATGAGTAAAGGTTCACGTGTATATGTGTGGTGAGTGTATGTGGTATGTGTTTATGTGGTGTGTATGGTGTATGTGTGAGTAAATGTTCACACGTGCATGTGTGGTGTATGTGGTATGTTTTTATATGACATGTAGGTGTGGTGTGTGATGCATATGCTTGTAGTTGCCTATTTTGGGTACATTATGCACTTTTTATAGTCCTTGTAACAAATTTTTCATTGTATCTATTTTGAAAACATTAGTGTAGCCTCACTAGCTT